CCCCTCCCCTTTTCCAACTTCGGATCTGTCGCAGATTCCCAGGAGGTTCTATTAATCATTGCTCGCCCCGCGTCCGGCGCGTTGTAGAGCATGTGCCTGGGGCGGGGCTGCGTCATCGCAGCTCACTTCTTCAGTGCGGAGAAGTTTCGACCCTCTCACCTGCATCTGCATACGTTTGAAACTAGCTGGCCACGGCCCTTCCGTCAAACGAAGATGCCAGGATCACTTTGCACTTGCACTTGCACTAATCTAATTATTCCTTAGAATGATTGCACAGGATTTGGCTGCTTTGTCAGCCTACCAACAAATTTCTTCCCAATTGAAAATGATTTTATTCGCAGTTCAAAGAACGTTCGGAATTTGTTGGCGATCATAAAGCAGCCACAGTCGTTCGCAAGGTTTTTATTTTGTGTTCAGTTGACACTACCTCAGACATTCACGCCACACTGGGACACCAAACCCGAAAAGAGAGGGGACAATATTTTAAGACATTTTTTGACTAAATCGGACCAACTGATTTCAAATATGACAACCATTCGACGGTCCGGGGTCGTTCCATAGGGCTTCCAACCCCATGAAAAAATGCAAAAAACGATAGAAAAAAATTTATGACACATTCGGATTCTTTGTAAAATATTGAACAACATTCCTTACACAAAATCGTGCTTCAGTCACCATCACGGGTCAACTCAAAACAGGCTAAAAGCACATTTTTTTTGCGCTCAATCTCGAAATATCAAAATTTCTACACGCAGCGGAAAAATCAGAGTGGTATATTCGGATTTCTAGTATAAAAACGAACTAAGAACATCTATAAAATTATCGGCACTTTCATGCCAGTCATGACCAAACAGTATGTGTGAAAACCAGAGGACACACACTTTTTTTGTATCCGACAAGTATACGAACGAATACGCTTTCCCAGTGAATGACAAGATGGTTGCCAACACTTTCTTATGCATGACAAACTGGTCACGGTCACACTCTTCTGTGTGTCTTTCTGTTTCGCGTCTTGGGTCGCGGTGGTGTGCGGAAGCATTGTATGTGCAGCGTGCGGTCGGAAGTATATCTTCGGCTGAAAACACTGAGCTTTGAGCCAGACGGGCCACGCCGGGCGGGGCAGCCCCCGAAGCGCCCTACTTAACGTGTTGGCCAGACCCCAAACCCATCCACAAACTTGTGCAGCGAGGCGTGTCCCCTCGGCAGGCCAGGGCGGGCCTACCGAAAGGAGCGTCTCTGGAGACCAATACACGCACGCGCTCTGTGCAAGCGGGAGCAGGTCTAGGCCGCCCGAGTGCGAGCGGGAGGGGTAGCCCGCTGGGCGCACAGGGACGCGAGGCGAACACGCACACACAGACGAAATGTCTACACTACAATCGCTACACCCCCACGACACAGAAAGAGATAAAACAATTCGAAACGACGGACGATGGGGTTTGGGAGTCCCCTCCCCTGCCCGAGGGGCCCAGACGAAAGGCGGGGTGAGGGGAGGAGTGATAACTGGTCTCCGCTCTGCCCCCCCTCACTCCCCGATCTGCGGCCCCATCAGAGAGGAAACAGTGAGTATAGCCGATGCTAGCTGAACGCCCCCCCCCCCACAAAAACCCATTACGTGCAAAAAGAAAATGTCAGCGAATGGCTGTTTTCTAGAAATTAATCAAAGCGAGATTGAAGAAACAATAAAACATAGCATGCCACGAGTGTCCGCCGGTATCCGCAGTTATTGACAATCCGCCATCCTCAAGCCTCTCCGCCACCCACCCCCTCTCGTTCCGCCTTTGTCAAACTTATTTAAGGCCCTCCAAACTCACCCAGCATGTCCCCTGGGAAGTGCTTCTCGTCGTCCGGCGAGCGTTCGGACGCGTACCCGAGGTCCTGTAGGTCCTTCTCGGACGCAGCGGGGGAGGCAGGGGTCATGTTGTTGTTGTCGCACACGTCCAAGTCCTGCTGCGCCGCGTCCAAACGGTTTGGCAGCGAGCCGCACAGCTTGTACCTGAAGGAACAACACAGGTAATGCTCACGCGTCTACACTGGGAAAAGAATGGCAGGAATCAACAGCAAATTCCTACCATATAAACGCAATTTACTACGCAACAGTACTTTCCTTAAAAAAATATTTACACTAAGTTCTACCTTTGTTTTTCTCGTATAAATATTTTATTAAAAGAACAGTACTGAAGCAAACAACAAAACTGTTCCGTGGAGGCAGATGATGTGCTTTGTTTCAATTATTTAGTGTGAAGGAAATATTTCTGAGCAGAGGGATTGGCAGGAAGTATGGTCCCGTCAAGCCAAATAACTTATGGAGCACAAAACCTTCCAATAGTATTCCAAGAACGTTATGTAGGCTCCCTGAACGTTCAGCGACCATTCTTAGAGAACAATCGTGCTACCAGGAAGCTTAGTGTAATTTTTTTTTTGAGAAGAGGGGAAAACTGGGAAAACTTTGAGGAGCTTCCATTAAGGAGAACTGGTTTGGAATGGTTTGTGGAGAATTCCTTGAAATCTGAATTTTTCCTTGAACCAAGGCAGTTCCTGAAAGTTTGTCCTTTACACTCAATTAATCAGACATTGTTTTTACCGTGCTCCATCAAGAGACGGTCTCTTGGCTCCATGTATATAAGAATGTCGTTCACACTCCTACAATCGTGCTATATTCACACCGAGGGGAAGATCACTTGCAAAATAGTTCGTACCTTCCCCCCAAATGGTCCGAAATACAGGCGAAATAAAGGCGAAATAGCGCGAAATAGACGCGAAATAGTCGGTGAAACAGTTGCAAAATACCCCTGCAATACTCAAAAATAACGCCAAATACTCTGAAATAATCCGAAATAGGCGAGAAATGACCGAAATGGCAAGAGAAATAACCGAAATGGCAGGAGAAATACCACCAAATAGCCGATACGCTACGAACCCAAATGATTTCCCCCTCGATTTACACATGTGGGTGTCCGGTGCTCGCTGTTGCTCACCTGTGATGCCGAGGGTCCTCCGTGCCGTTGCTGTTGTGGCAGTGGCGGTGGTGTCGGTGGCGGCCGCAGGGCGCCAGCAGCCGACCTAGCTTGTCGCCGGCGCGCGCGCCCGTGCACAGGGACCCCGAGGACTGGGTGCGCCGCCCAAGCAGGCCCGGCTTGCCCGGGGCCGAGGGGCGGCTGCCACTGCTGCCCATGACCTCGAGAGCCTCCTGCTGAGCCTCCTCGCCCACTAGGGCACTGCTGCCACAGGCAACAAAGAAAGAAGAAGCTGTAAGTGGCATGTGAGCCTATCGCAATCAATCGCTCCTATAATTGAAATGTCTCGCTTTTTAACACAGAGTGTGCACTGTAAAAAGCTTGCGACGAACTATTCTTTGTATTGCAAAGAATTTTCAAGCGTTGTAAAATGCTTTGCATTGCGAACTAAATCATTCGCATTGCGAACTAATTCTTCGCACCTTACGAAGAAAATCGTTCGTAACGCTGCAAAGAATTAGTTCGTAACCTTGCAAACCGCTTCTTCGCAAATTACGAAGAAAATAGTTTGCAATGCAAAGAACATAGGTTGCAATGCAAACATCCTTACAATGCTTGAAAATACTTTGCAAGAATTTTGCAGTGTGTGACATGAGGATGGAAACATACGACCACGTCTCTCACACCATCGTGTACTCTGGAATTTCAACAGTGCTATGCTATTCGAAGTGTAGATCAGTTTTCCACTTGTTATTTGCCAACATTTGTACTCCACTCAAATGTAGAACGAAAATCGACCACAGCGACGAAAAGTTACGGATTGATTACATGGCGGTACAAAAAGAATACACACTAACGGGAATGTACTTTTTTGTACATGTCGTATGGAGTGATTCGTGCGTACGGATTTATGTACGAAAACGTGCTTAGTTATGTACTTATTCATATAGAAATAGGTTAAATTTTGTGCATCAAATAAAAATGTATATTTTTGTGTTTATTTATGCATAAACTTATACACATTTGTCTGATTTCGTGCATAAATCCGTACGCTCATATCACCACATATGACATGTATGAAAAAGTACTTTTCCAGTTAGTGTGGGGAGACATCAAGTGTTCGATGGTCCAGGCATATTTTACAGTAAAAAAGCGAGCCAATTTTGATATGTATGGCTGACAAACGTCAGATTCTTCTGTAGCAATCTCTAACTTTAACGCAAACTTTTCAATGCTGTCGGTGGTTGTCACGTCGTGGCCTGCATGGATTAGCGCTGAGCAGCAGACAGAAGGAGCGGAGCGACTCACCAGTGGGCTGGCGGTTGACCCTCCAGCGGTACGGCGTCGTGCGGCACGGCGTGCGGCACGGAGCGGAGGGCGGGTGCCATGGCCAGCTCGGCATCGTCAACTTCAACGCCTGGCGGACAAAAGAAAAGCACATGTCACATATTCGCATTCTAAATTAATTGTCCCCACGAAAAGTAGCTACAGCTGATACATTGACTGCTATCTTTTAAGGTTGGCATCGAATAAACTAGTGAAAACAATTTTAATGTCACGACTGATATTAAATTGCACACCTTCGAAAGTGTTGAAGAATTAAAGCATAGACTCAACTTTCTCCCGGAAGCAAAAGTTCACTGCTATAGTTAAAGGCAGCATTCAAAAATCTAACGTCACTCACTTGAAAATGAAACACTACGAGCAATGCCGTATATAAGTTTAAAAATATACTGCTCACAGTCACTGTGTGTCGCTGTATGTGACACATTCAATCAGACATGTTTCTGCGCGCAGGTGGTGGGGGGTGTACACCGGTTAGTTTAATTAATTTTGAATTACATCGAACCTCTACGATTGTACTACATGCGTTTCCCAAACCTCTGGCGCAATTCGCATAACTTTTTATCAGTCATGTTCTGCGCGACGATGGCTAGACGGGAGGGGGCAGTACTGGTAGTACTGCTGTTGTTCGATTTGTTGCCACGTCTCTCTAAAGGCCATCAATACTGGTTACCAAAACGTTGACACGTAGGGTTTTTTTTCTGTTATAATGACTGGAGGTTGAGCCGGAGGACCTGAGCCCGGACATCAGCCCGGATTGCAAAAGTTGTGACCCCCGCTCAGCGTCTCGGGCTCATGTCTTTGATGTCTTTGGTGCAATCCGTCAAAAATAAGCCCGAAGTATTCCGGGCTCAAGTCCGGAATTGCAATTCCGGGATTATTGTTTTTGGCAATCGGGCTCTAGTGACTCGAGTCTAGTCCCAGACATGAGCCTCTCTGCTAATCTAACAGTAGAACAAATTCACAGTTAAAACTGCAAAACTAAAAGTCTTTCAGTTTAAACTGCGAAACTAAAAAGTTCTACAGTTAAAACTGTGTAGTTCAACAGTTTAAACTGCACATTTCAGTTTGAACTGTAGAACTTTTCAGTTTCGCAGTTTAAACTGTAGAATTTTTAGTTTTGCATTTTAAACTGTCAAGTTGTTGTACAGTTAGATTTGCAGAGCTAAGACGCTGAGCGGGGGGGGGGGGGGGGGTCGTTATAACCGTTTTTCCCCTAATCGCAACTCTTGCACATTTTTACTTCTCCTCCCCCTAAATCGGAGACTTTCAACAGATTTTTACTTTGGCATAGAAACTCGGATCGGGCAGGACAAGCACAGAGGGCGCCAGGCACCTGGAGCAACAGAGTAGACTCTGGTTCCTGGACTCTATCTCGCCGACAGCACCCCAGCTCCAGCCCGGCTCGGCCCGGAGGGAGAACCACTCAGCAAATGAGCCTGAGGGCGAAAAGTGTCGGGCGAAGAAACACCAAGGTGGCGCTGAGGCGGAGCTGTCGTGTAAAGCACGCGTTGCCCCCCCCCCCCAATCATACCCATCCAAGCAGAACATTGGCAAGACTAACGTTCCTCAATCCATGAAAACGGAATCGGCATCGGAATCACAGTACCCTCAGTAGTAAGCTGCAAGCCGTCCGTGCACAGCTGAAGCAACAACACTGTGAAAAATTGTCGTACCGGGTACAGGAAAATTTCATTGAATTGGTCGTATAATTACAACTTGAAATTGTGAAATTTTTAAGCCCTGCGTATCAACTTGGAACCGAATATCGAGCGTGAGTGGGAGGTTGTACCGGGTGTACCTGTGAATACGCAGCAGTGTTGCGGGATTGCATACTCAATTTGGCCACAGGGTCCATGACCCTTTACGGGTGTAAAGAGTAGGCAAACCCGCAACACTGCTGCCCATGCACAGTTACACCCGGTACATGTACGACTCGTTTTTTAAATGGCACATTACAAAGTATGTTGTACATGTGCAGATATATTTTTAACAGTGAATGGCCAACTACTTTACTATTCTGCTCGTTTATACATTTTTGGTGGGTGGGATATAGGGTTTATAGCGCCTGGGGGCGGGCGGGCCCCGGAGGCCGTGAAGCACTACGCGCTATCGTCTCATGGTCCCACACAACAAACACACAATCGAGTCGCTGTATGCGATTCCGATCCAATCTCCAGACAACCCGCCCACGCCGGGCCGGTCGGGTATTGGGGCCACCCCCGCGCCAGATGAAAGGAGGCATAGAGAGGCTTACCTAAGGGGAGTGATTGTGCGCTGGAGGGGGCCCAGGCCGGGCACGGTGCATGTGCGTGTGAGGATGGGTCGGATTCGCAAATGTTCAAGGAGAGAGTGCCATGAAGAACAAGATTGCCAAGTTTACCGTCGCAGCCCCGCGGACCATAAAACACGCGAGGAGGTGAGGCTTTTCCTTCTCGCAGTGAAATAATATTTGGGGAGGGCGGAGGAAAGCGTTTCCTGGGCGGCGGTACGGGAGAAGTGTGGAAGAGAAGGGTGAGGGGGGGGGGGGGAGAAAAATCATGAACCGTTTTGATGCACGCAGCAGCAGCTACAGAAGCAGCAGAGTGTGGAAATGAGGCCTCTCCGTGCCTTCTGACGCAAAGCTGGCGGCGCGGAACACCACCGAGGTCCTGCTGCTGCGCCTTCACCTCACACCACTCTGCAAAGGGAAATATATAACGTTCGAATGCCCTTGTACGCAGCGCAGAAAAATGCTGACAAAGTATTCTGATACGTTATTTGCCCAAGGGTCACGGAAGGATGTACGCTCGTGGGTTACTGCACTAGGTGCCAGGTGGCTATGAGGGGAAACATCTGTCTCATCGGAATAACGCGAAGGCTGGATTTGTGACAATTTCGCACAGACAACCTGAAATAGGGGCAAGATAACGCTCTGTAACGAAAAAGTCATAAAATGAAGAAATCCAAGAAGAATAAAATGTAATTACTTTTCATTACTCACAGGTGCAGCCGATATGACCATAAATTTAGTAAAACCGGAAAACAAAAAACCTTTGCTAAACCTGATTTTAGTAAATAGGTCTTCCAACTATCTGGTGGTGCAAAAATAATCTGTATAATGCAGTAAGTAAGTCATCTCACACAGCCCTATTCTTTTTTATCCCCTCGGTTAACGTCTTGGTCACGCCACACAGCCAAAAGGGGGCGGTGCTAAGTACCTGAGAAACAGCTTTGCACAATGGCGGCTCATCTTATGTTCTAGAGGAGAACGCCACTGCGGCACCCGCCCAATTAGATGTACCACGACTGGCGGGGCGGGGCGCTGACGGGAGCCCGTGTTGACTGCACGGAAAGCGTCATGGTGCTCCACACTTCTTAAAATTTTACGAACGCTACTATTCATATTTATAGTACCTTGATGTCAGTTAGTACCAACCGAAACAATGAGTTGTTCCTTCATAACATACTATGACCCAAAAATCGTTCACATGAGTAAAATAACCTTCCTATTACGAACGAGAGGATTCGCATTTCGGACGCATTCAGTTCGTGCTACTTGAGCTTATTAGTCAGAGTGGGTTATTTCACTCAGACTGTGAGTACTTCAACGCTTCCGATGACAGTGTACACAACCGTGATGAAAAAAAAAAGCGATAAACGCCCGCTGGCGTCGCTGGACAACCCCCCTCCGCTTCATCACCACGTGAAGCTGGTCCTCGCATTGCTCTGCGATCGGAAAACGGGGGCATGTCACCCCAGAGAGGGGAGGCGGCAGCGCGCGGCAGAGTAACAGGCGAGAAATAAAATGTTCTGCGAGAGAAAGAGAGAAAATAATAGAACGGTTGTGTGCAGTCGACGTGACAGGCGGTGGCACAAGCTAACACTCTCAAACACAGTCGCCGGCGGCGTCCGAAGAGAAGCGTCCTGCTCGGACTGGGAAGCGACTCGCCCTTCACAACGCAGCCCCCTCTTGACGCATCGCCGCTAATCTGCAGCGGGTACCGCACACCGCACTGCGCCGCCCTTGTCGTCCCGTGCCGGGCCGTCATTAAACATGTCGTTATTACAGACCGAACTCTCATTAAACGCCGTGCACGAGTGCGCACGTGCTCGCGCAGACTACACAGCGCAGCACAGCACGAGGGAAACAGAACAACTTTGTACGTTTCCCTTGAAAAACTCGGCCTCGCGACACTGAATGAAACCGTCGGCCACGAGTTAATCGTTATAGAACGGGGTAGTCGCTGCAGGAGCAAACCCAATCCGTCCGACATCCATCAAGTATTAGAAATTATCGTGTTGGCCTAGGCCCGATTCAAGTGTCTTAAGCCTGGATGGGAACTCCAAACTTATTTGAGGCACAAGATCTGCGCAACTAGAGAACCAGTACGGAATCAGCAAAATCAGTAAAGGTTTTGTTTTATATATTTCCGATAAAAATAGCCTCAAACACTACTGGCTCAGTTTGCCCGATTCATTAGTTTTGGCGTCTTATCATTCTGCCCGTGCAGCGCACAGTGCAGCGCACAGTGCAGCGCACAGTGCAGCGCACAGTGCAGCGCACAGTGCAGGTGCTCTTTGACAGCTTTTCCATACACAACCAGCTGTACATTTATATTTTTGCTCTGCCACTACGTGATGGTGAGGAGGAGACGTCGACTTCGAAAGCACTCTTCGTACCACTAACTTCTTCTTCTGCGCTCCTCTCGCAAAGGGTCCCCTCTTCCGACTAACCGTTTCCGCCTTTTAGGGTACCACACACTTTACCAGCGAGGATTACGAGTAAAGGGCGCGCAAAAGTTTTCGCCACTCGGCGGTGGCGGAATAGTGCCTGCCGAAACCGGGCTGTTTATTGGAGCTGAGCTGAGACTGGACCGGGGGGGGGGGGGGGGCACTCTGCACAAGAAGAGGTGGGATTCCATCGGAGGGGAAAAGTTTTCGACCGTGAAAAGATATACGGGGGCTAACAGTCCTGGCCCATATTCCTCGCGCTGTCTAGCCGGCCGGGTGGAGGGTGACCACTGGCCAAAACAAGATGCTCCCCGCGCCCCACCCAGCCCCGCCCCCAGTACTGCAGCGCTACTGCTGCTC